TGGCCGACGAAGGTATCCATGGAGCCCTTGGCCTTGAGGGTGTCCACGGCGTCGCTGTGGGTCTTGGAGTTGTCGTGGTTCTCGAGCGTCGTCTTGCGTCGTGTCGACGTGCCCTTCTCGACCCACGTCGTACGGGCAATCCCCGCGCTTACGTCCGCCTCCGTGCACGTCTTGCACTTCATCTGCATGTTCTCCGGATCCCAATACAACCACGGATAGAGCTCGCGCCACTCTTTCAGCTGGAGCTCGACCTTCTTCTTCTCCTCGTCGCGCATGGGCACGATCGCGGGCGTCTTCGACGCCTCGGCCTTCGTCTTCCTCGCCTCGCCCTCCTTCTTCTTCCTCGACTTGGGCTTGGAGGGGCCCGGCGTCGAGGACTCGCCCTTGGGCTTGGGCGCGAAGATGCATGCGACCTTCCGCTTCATGGGGAGCGGCAGGGCCTCGGCGGTCTTGGCGCCGGGGGCGAGCGTCGGGCCCTGGAGCACCTCGCCGCTGCCGGGCACGACGCCGCCGACGTCTATGAGCGTGTCGCCGAATGTGAGCGTGACGTCGCCCAGGCTCGTCGCGGCCGCGGGCACGTCCTTCGCGGCCGAGGGCTCGCCGGGGGGCGTCGCCACGGGCTGGACGGAGTCGGGCGTCGTGTCGAGGAGCACGGTGGAGGTCGTCGCGACGCGCGCGGGGGGGTGCTCGTGGGCCTCCCAGACCTGCTGGAACATCTTCTGATGCTGCTGCAGGTCAGTGGTGGGAATCTCGATCCCGAAGGTGATCTCCATCGGGGGCAGCGCCGGCGGCGCAGGCTCGGCCGCTGCATCAGGGAAGCTAGGCGGGGCCTCGGCGGGCGCCGGCGCGGCGGGAGCCGGAGCCGCGGCGGCCTGCTGCGGCGGCGCAGCGGTGGGGGTCGGCACGCCGCCGAGCGTCGCGAGGGCGATGTTGAGTTCATCGAGAGTGAGCTTGCCCTCTCGATAGCGGTCGCAGGCTGCCATGATGGCGCCAGTCATCCGAGTTATGGGGCTGTCGGACATGTTTTTTGGCGCGAGTTTTCGACGAGGTTGGTGAATTTGGGCGCGCAAAACTCGGAGCTCGCAGACGGCCTCGGCGAGCGCTTGCCGGGGGTCTGGGCGACCTTGTTCCACCACAGCAGGTTCGCGCCGATGACGAGGCCGGCGTCGCCGCGAAGTCGCGAGGCGGCTGTGGCGCCGGGTCCGGCTAGATCGCTTTCCGGACCGCGGCTGCGAAACCGCTGCGCGAGCGGCGCGAGGCGACGGCACGTCTCGCGACCGGCGCGCGTTGGGGCAGCCGCAGGCGCCGAGCGGCGAGGCCTTCACGCGGTTCTAGAGAGCGTGCCTCGACCTGGACGCCGAGCTGGACATCGACTACGTGCTATTCATGATCTAGTACTGCTTCGTCGGCGACCAGAGCATCAACGCCTACGAAACGAATTCCCCGAAACCAGCCCTCTGCCTCGAGTAGAGCGAGGCGTTCGTCGTCACGTAGAACACCAAGGCCTCGTGGACGACGCCCGTGACGGCCACGGCCTTCCAGCCCGACGCCTTCCTCGCCCTCGACCAGTTCACGACGCCGGAGACCACGCCCTCGAACACCGCGGTCTCCATGACGGTGCTCTCCGCGGACGCTGTACGCACATCGTCATGGAGCAGTACCAGGGCGTCGCCTACGACGTCGCCATGGGCCCCCTTGGTGTTGTTCGCATCCTTCCGGGGTGCGCTGGGGTCGCGGTCGTAGTTTGTACCACGCTCGGGCACCTTGGGCTCGCGCCCTGGCCGTAGGGACTGCGTTCCTGAGAGTGTAGGTTCCTCAGGCACGCGGACATCTCGGATCTACAGCGTACTCAGAGGGCCACAACTGGCCACTACGGCCGAGTATCGCCGTCACCCGCATACCGCTGGACACGGTAGATCACAACCAACCCCAGGGACATCTCAAACACGGCGTGGGGCCGAAATTACTGCGTATTTTGGTTTTTTTTTGCCCTCGGGGCCAAAAATAGGGCTCCCAGCACGGCAACGCGTATACCCGCCAGATGCACGACCCAGAGGTTGGTCAGCTGGATCGAGGGCCGATCTCAGTGCATTAGCTCGGGGTCCGACAGCCGGGGCCACGGGATGTGGCGCATCTCGTGCGTGAAAACGTCCACCGAACGTCGTTACGAACGCGTCGAATTTAAAAATACTTCTGGTGCCAAAAACCTATAGCTAGATAGCAGGAGCGACATGGTAGTTGACGGATCCGTCCTGCCAGAGCCGACAACAAAGGTTTTTCGGCACAATACAGCCGAGATAGGGCCTCGTCGTGACGTGCGGCGTTTCGATGACGTTCCGTCGGGTTTTTGGACGAGCTCTGGGTCCTCATCCGTGAACGAGTGCTTATCTAGCTAGAGCTTTTCGGTCGACTCGGACCTCGGAACCAGCTCTTCGGCGTCCCACGCGTTTCTTGAGGCGATAAAATCGATCTCCGCAGCTCCGAAACGTGGCCGGAGACGGGAATTCGTTTTTTTGGGCCAGTTTTGGGCCCTCGTTCGTGAATGATTGGCTCTATATCTCGGGGAATCCGGTCGATTCCGACCTCGAGACCGACCCTTCGACGTCCCACGCGTTTCTTCAAGCGAAAAAATCGATTTCCGTAGCTCCGAAACGGGCTCCGAGCCGGGAACGTGTAATTCTAGACGAGCTCTCGGTGCTCATTCGCTAAAGAGTGATTCTGTAGCCCGAGGTTTTCGGTCGACTGGGGTCCAGGGGCCGCTTCCTCGACGTCGGTTGCGTTCCTTGGGTCGAAAAAATCGATCTCCGCAGCCCGAAAAGACGCTCGACGGCGGCTCGCGAACCGATACGAGCCCGTTAATGCGCAGCACCGTCGAGAAGACGTCGACCGCGCGAGCGAACTGTCGCCCGCGACGCCTGCGGACGTTGTGCCACCGAAACCTCATGGATTGGTAGCATTGCGACGATGTAGTGGCCGCACGAGGCCGCCACAACCTCATGGTGGGAGCGGAGTTCAAGAACAGAAAAGCGAACGGCAAATTTCTCGGTGCCGCGGTGCAGCGCGCCTTCCTGCGCGCGCACGAGCCGCACTGAGCAGGCCCGATTGCGCGCCGCTTCGCATTCGCGGGTGCAGTCTGTCGCATCCCATCGCACGGGCTGGTTCGAGACGGTTCAACGTTAAGGGTATCTGCCGATATCTTAAGATGTTGGGCAGATACGATGGCTGCGTGGATCCTCTGCCCGCGCAGACGCCACGGCGCGTAAACTCGCGTGATTTTTCTCTTCGGCGCTTCGCGCCGCGGAGCGCTCGCGGCCGCGCGCCGCCGCGACGTCGCGCCGCGCATGGGCACGAAGCAGCGAGCCCACGTCGCGGCCAAACTTCGAGGCGCTCGAGCGCGGGCCGGGCTGCCCTTGGCGGGCAGCGTCGACTGGATGTCGAAGACGCGCGCCAGCGACGTCGTCGATTGTCGGCTCGTGCCGCAGGGCTCGCCGGCGGCCACGGCGACGACTGTTCGTCTGCGGATCGCGCACCGCGACCGGACCGAACTCGACGCAGCGCTCCAACAACACGTAGAGCGCGTCGCAGTTCGGCGACGCGCTCGGCGCCCTCGCGAAGCTCGCCCAGCCCTTCGACAATGTGCTCGTGGACCGCAGCCGCATCAAGGACACGCGTATCTTCTTCGACCAGCCAGAGCGCAGCGTTCGGAGCGTGAAATTCTGCAAAATTTTCTCCGGCGCTTCGCGCCGTACGCCACGCGAGCTGAAGCAATCGGCGGCGCGGCGGCGGCGATCGCGCCGGGGGCCGACATCCACGGCGCCGCCGCCGTCGGATTGCCCCGCCGCGCGCGCGCAACGCGAAAGCGGCGCCCGGGGCCCCGCGCGGCCTCGGGCCGAGGTAGGCCGCCGGGTAAGTTGTCGAGTCCAAAAGTAACCCGTCAGGTAAGTCGTTTTGGCCGAATGTAAGTCGTAAGTAACATGTTAGGTAAGCTGTTACGTCGAACCCCGCCCCCCGCCCGCGCGCCGCGAAGCAGCTGACTGTATTAGTGGAACACGGCGGGCTTGTCGTCGTCGAAGTAGAGGTGGTGGCGGTAGATGTAGGCGAGGACGCCCGCGGGGACGAGGCCCGCGGCGCTGTCGAGGTCGCCGGTCTTCTTGAGGCGGTTGCGCACGGCCGTCGACGAGCCGTTGCCCTCGATCATCTCCTCGTCGCCGTCGACGTCGAGGTAGGAGAAGCGCGGCCCGTAGTCCGACAGCTCGCCGTGCGGCGGGAAGCCCGGCCGCTTCAGCACGAGGAAGTCGTACTCCTCGACGAGCAGGTGGCCCGTGACCTTGCGCTCGCCGCCCGCGTCCGACTCCCAGGTGCGGATGTCCGTGCCCTCCTGGAACCAGTCCGTGCCGACGACGAAGACGAACTCGTGCGTCGCGTCGTGCTCCGCGGAGAGCTTGTTGAGGAGGTCGTAGGTGAAGAACGCGCGGTCGCGCGTCACGTCGACGTCGCAGACCTTGACGGGCAGCCGGGGCGGGAAGACCGTGTTCACGGCGATCTCGCACATGGCCCATCGGTCCGACGTCGACGTCCTGAGCGCGGGCTTGTCGGGCCGCGCGCCGCACGGCGTGAGCCAGACCTCGTCGACGCGCGACGACCGCAGGATCTGCGCGCAGGCCCGCATGTGGTCCACCGTCGGCGGGTCGAAGGCGCCGCCGTAGATCGCCACGCGCGTCTTCGGCGACGCGCCGGCGAGGGCCGCCATGCCGCGCGCGGCGAGCGCCGAGCCCCGGCCGGCGGCGCACGCCACCGCGAGCCCGCGGAGAATGGTCTTTCGCGTTGCCGCGAACGCTGCGCCGCGCGATGCGGCCGGCGGCAAGCGCTGTTTTTCGCGAGCGACCGGCGCGAACGCTGTCTTGCGCGAGCAATTGCGATGCGAGAGGGCGCGAAGAGTGAAATTGAGTCATGGTGAGAGTTGTTGACATTCAACAATAGCCCAAGCAGCCCGAGTCTCGATGGTCGGCTCTCGAGAGCGTTCGTTCATCGACCAAACTGCGCGCTATCACGCTTCGGACGGCGACCTTGACGCGCTCGTAAAAGTGAGACCCGACGGAAATGGTGGTGTGACCATCGAGGATGCACCAGAGGGAGGGGCGATTCTGACAGAGGGAGGGACGCGCCTGTCTTATGCAGCTCGTTACGGTTTTTGCTCGGCCCTATCTTGGCTTCTGGAACGCGGCGCCGACGTCCACTTGGGCTGGCCATCCTACGGCTGGACGCCACTGCACATCGCCTCTTTACGCGACGCTTGCGACGTAGCCGTCCTGCTGCTCGACGCGGGTGTGCGGGTCGACGATCGCAGCGCGAGTGGCTTGACCGCGCTCCACGTCGCAGCCTTGGAAAATCGCTCCAAGATGTGCAAACTTCTGCTGAGTCGCGGCGCGTCGCTCGACGCGCGCAACAACGACGGCGACGACCCCGAGGCCCAAGCGCGATACCGCGGCCACACGGCCTTGGCCGACTTCCTCGCCGCCGTCCGCGCCGCGGGCGGCTGGCTCCCCTACCTCAACGCGCCGCGCAAGGAGCTCCTCGCCCTCCGCCAGCGGCTCCCGGCCCTCCGCGAGTGCGGCCGCGCGGCGCCGTCGTCGAGCGTCCGCGCGCACGAGCGGCTCTTCCTGAAGACGCCCGACGACGTATTTTCGCACGTCCTCACGTTCTGGCGCAGCGACCGCGACGACTAAAACAACAAAAACTAGCGGCGCGGCGGCAGCGGCGGCGCGTCGCGGCGCGGCGGCAGCGGCGGCGGCGCGGCGGCTCCCGCCGTCGGCGCGGCTTCCGGCGGCGGCGGGCGGACGGTCGGCACGGCGGGCGGCGGCGGCCGGATGGTCGGCACGGCCGGCGGCGGCGGGCGGACCGTCGGCGCGGTCGGCACGGCGGGCGGCGGCGGGCGGACCGTCGGCACGGCCGGCGGCGGCGGGCGCGCGCCCTCGGGCGGCGGCGTCGCCGCGAAGACCGCGGGCGGCGTGGCCGTCGGGTCATCGTCGAAGACATGGGGCGGCGTGGCCGGGGGGTCCCCGGGCGGCGGGCGCCGGAACGCATCGAAGGCCTTGATGGGCGTGAGGTCGTTGGCCGCGAAGACGTCCGTCGTCGGCGCGCGGTCCCGCGAAACCGCCGCGGCGTCCCCGACGCCGAGCAGGACGAAGGCGGCGACAGCCGCCGCCGGGCGGCACCGCTCGTGGAGCTCGGCGAAGGGCCTCGCTGCGTCTAGGCGCCACGGCACGCGGCGCCCCGCCGCCACA